AGTCTGATAACTAGTCTACATACAATCCTGTGACTGAGACAGCCCAGTCAATCATTTCAATATAGGATATATGATCATCCAAGTAATTTTCACTGTTTAACATTACAGCAAAAAGGGAGCCAGGTATTCATTACATTTCTCAGGTTTAGAGACAAAAAGAAGAAACTTCTTTAACATAGTTTTTGCCAAGTTACTGTATTACAGGCATCCCAAAAGCAATCTTTCTAGCAGCATTACAAACTAAAATGTGGACTAAAAATGTGAGGTTTATTGCCTGTTAAAATAAATTTTATTATTTACTTGATATATAAGCACTCTCCTTATCTGAGCTTTTGCACTGCAAAGCGCATCCAAGTTCCTTTAACCAATTCTAATTTAATGACAGATTTAATAACACTGCAACACAGAAGTGTGGACTTGGCCAAAGAAAATTATTTCATAAAAATCTGATGCTTATACAGTAACATCTAAAATGTCACCTAATACATACAAGTAAAGCAGAATTTTTTTAATGTATATTATAAAACCTAGGGCTTTGATAGGTAAAACATCTACTGACTTTAAAAGACCATAAAGATAATTTATTTTTAATAACCATTTTTATTTAATTTTTAAAAGAGCAGCAGTTTATGCCTTCAGTAGAACCATGCCCTGAAATCTCAGGGGTGATTAAAGGGCCATGCTAAAGCTGAAAGGTTTCGAATATCAAACTATACTATTATGTCAGGGTCAGCAAGATCAATTAGCGCTTTCCAATGACAGAAAAAGGTTAAGTTGAACACACATTTGCGCAACATCTAAATCCAAAAAAGAAAAATCGCAAATATTAAGTTTACTTATAAACCTTTCGATCAATGACCGAATATCAAAACTCTTCTTCCACTTGCATACCGTAAATACCATTTTTTTTACAAAAAATATAAGATAGACTGCAGATACATTAGACAGCAGAAATACTACTGGATTGTCAAGTACAAAGAAAAAGCAAAGACATCTGAGTGTTTCTGCTACCAGTTTAGCACTGAACTTCCAAAAAGCTTTAAAAATACTTGATCAACTTGACAGATGTTTGTTAGTCTGATGCCCTTGTGTTTGCATTCCTCCTGCAAACCCTCACAGTACAAAAAATGAATGATAGGGAGCAAATAAACCTATTCCTATGTTCAACTAAAAAACAAATAGAAAACTACCATACAATAAACCCACACCCACCCCTCAAATTAAAAATACTAATCTGTAAATTAACTCATCTTAAATCTGGAAAATACAAGTCCAATTAAAAGCCATCCAGAAGCACGCACGTCAGGAAGCAAGGGAACTTACATTTCAGTTCTTAGTATCACAAGAACACTCACTGGAAATACAGGCATGTTAGAAGTTAATTCAACACCTGTTAATACAAATGTTGCCGTCGTAAACATAGCTTGAACAAAGTACCTGGTTATGATATCAAATAAAGCAAACATAAAATCACAATAAAAATGCAGGAGATTAACAAAAACTACGGACAAAAGAACACTATGTTGAAAGCACTGATTTAGATTGGCAATGCATTATTTTGAGTAAAAGCAAAGCAAGATTACCTTTCTTCAATGATGTATTTCAAAACGTCTCTTTTTATTTAAGCCCACTTCTCTATTTCTTCAAGGAGTGATTTGAAATATTTACTACCGGACAGTACCTAATTTTAGGTTTTAAGTGCTTTAACAGCTCTATGAAATATGATCAGCAGCTGCAATATAGAAGTATGCTGAATAAACTCTCCTTATAAAAAGGGAGACCTGTTTTACCCTGAGTTCATAAACTCCCTACTTTCAAGAAGGAAAAAGATAACAGAGAAAAAAATAATAGCTGCGTCCTAGAACACTTAACAGAAATTCTAGGAATTTCCTTCTTTCTGTATTAACTTTTGTACTTAAAAGGAAAAAGCAGTTTAAATTTTAAAACTGAAGGATTGCACAGAACATCATGCAATGCCACCAGTACATCAAGGAAACAGACTGGTACCTTTCCCACACCAAATGCCAGTGTTTAACATTAATTCTAGGACTGGAAGGCAAAAGTTGCATAAAGTTGAAAGTGTTAAACTGTAACGCTTGCATCAGATGCTAAAAATATGCCACAGGATACTATCTATAGCTGTATTTCTAGTTACCTTGTTTGAAATATTTTAACTGGAAACTGCAATTAGCTGGAAAACCACCGTTGTCCTACTAATTACATTGCTTGTTTAGAATTTATTTATTCCATTGGCATTATCCATACAGAATAAATTTCTATTGGAAAGTGTTGTGAAGCCATTAATAAATACAAATCCAGCAAGAGTAACTGTCAACCAAATTTATTAGCAGTACAATCATATACACATAACAATTAATAACAGCATACAAATTATCTGAACAAAGATACATAAAAGATCAGCCAACAAACTCCTCTTTCATTTCTGTTAGATTTGATTGAAGAACATCTGGTAACATAAATACCAGAACTTTCAACAGAAAGCAAGAAGAGCTGTTTCGGTCATAGCTCAGCTAATGTTAGATGTCCAATACAGAGGAAGAATCACAGGGAAGACAGCGAAATGTCAGTCTGTATTTCCACTTTACTCATAGTATGATACATACTGCAGGTATGCAAGCATTTGTTATTTAGCAGCATTTTCAGAAATACAGGGAGGAAAAGTCAAACCCACAGCAATTTTACGAAAGTTTTCTTTTGAGCGTTACGGAAATGAAACAAAGATATAGCTTGAGCTTTAATAGAAAGGGCATGCTTCAAACAACAAACTCCGAGGTCAGACCAAAAAATATATTTACCATACAGGGGAGATGCCTGCTTTGTATAATTCACTCTAAATCTAAACTGTTGATTAGTTTATCTTCGATACAGTTTCTAGTCTACGCATGTGAAACACGTAAAACAAAACCCAGAAAACCGTAAATACTGTTTCCTTACTGTTCTAGCATGACTTCACGCTTAAACTCGAACCAGCCAAGGCGCTCCCTTGTCTCGTACAGCTTGTCTCCCAGGATTTTTCTAAGTACTAGCTATTTCACACCGCCACGCGCGACTTCAGCGTGTTCCTCCGTGTGCTCGGCTGCAATCCCTGCCCGCGGGTCCCAGGCCGGCAGCACCGCGCCCGCTTGGCTCCGAGCGGCAGTTTCATAAATGTAAATGAAACTTTAGATGCCAACTACCGATTGGCAGCAGCGCTGCCGTGGAATCCCGCTCTCCCTTCTCGGAGGAAGGCGCCGCGGGGCTGCTACCCCGCGGGTGGGTGCCGGGAGCAGCCCCGGGGCACCCCTGAGCCCGGGAACGGAGGAGAACCGCAGCCGAAGCCGTGTGAAACCCAGCTGACGGTTCTCGACGGGTATCTGATTTTGGAAGTGTCTGTAGTGACAGCAGAAGGAAATTAATGGCTATGAGCCCACTGGGTTTGAACACGGAGAATCCTGTTACCTCCTCGCGGATCAAGTATGCGCGCACACCCGCAAACACACAAGGCTTCCCCACGTGGAAACGCTTTCTGACCAAACACAGGACCCCGCATCGCCGGTGGGAAGGGCAGCGGGACCCCCGCGCCGGGGCTTCCCCACGGCCCACTCCTCCGGCGCAGCGGGGACCCGCGGCGGGGGCGGGGGCGCGGTGGGACGACCCGAAAACGCACCGTTTTGTCCTTTAAAACCACAAGAAAAACAAGCCGGCGCGGGGGAGGGGAAGGGCAGGAGACATCCCTCAGGGAAAGGAAACGGAGAGGAACAAAAACAACAGGCAACTGTGTCCCCGCTCCCCTCGGACACTGGGAAAAGTGGCTGCCAGAGCCGCCGCGGCGGCTGCCGGCCAGGAGGCAGCGGGAGGCAGCCTTGCCCCATCCGCCGGCACCCAGAGGCAGGCGGGCAGTGGCGACCCCCGAACGCTGCCGGCAGCTGGGGCAGCGCGGGGCCGAGGGCGGGCGGCAGAACCGACGGCTCCTCTGCCGCCGCCGCCTGTGCCTGCGGCTCCCGGCCAGGCTGTCTCGCCCCCGCGCTGCCCAGACCCTGGCTAGAAGGAACGGGAATTTCGGGAAGGGGCTCGCTACCATCCCTGCGTGTTTTCATGTCGCTCTGGCCGGAGGGGGTCCCCGCCGCCAGAAATGTTGTTTCCTCCCAGCCTCCGGTCAAGCCGCCGCCGGCCGCGGCCTTCGCAGGCCGACCTGCCCCCCGCCTCCCCCAGGCGGGCCGGCAGCCCCCAGCTGCTCGCGAGGCGCAGCACAGACCCCCCGTTTCCGCCGTCACGGGGGTGGGCGGGAGGGGCAAGTGGGGAACAATGCGACGGCTTGCGGCTGTCTTCGGGCTTACCCCGGCAGCGCCGGTAACAGCTAGCCGAAAAAAGGTGAGCTTAAAACCGCGGGGATTGTCACCTGGAGAGAGGCAGAAAATCCGGCTGGGCGTGGAAAAATTCACCGCGTTCGCACCGGAGACCAGTCTGGTTTTTTGCAACTAAACTCGCTTGGGGCCGGGGGCGAAAGCTCCTCTCTACCCCTCCGTTGTTCCTTCCCATCACGTTGTTTTACAGTAACTTTGTTGTTGTTGTCATCGGACCAACACGAAAAGAATGCTAAATAAACGCTAAATACTAGCACATGCACATGCGACAGGGAACCGGTTTCCTCCACCTCCGAGCAGAAGAGGTGGGAGGGAGACACGGGGACGGCGAAGTCAGAGACACTCACCTTCTCGCTGCCGGGATATGCCGCTACCTTTATTTTAGGGCCGCTCCTTATGTATTTATTCTCGTACCTTCTCCGAGCCGAGGCTCCCCTTTTGCACTGTTCCTCTGGCAAAACCAGAACATCCCCTCTACAAGTTCCCCCCCCTCCGTTTTCTTCACACACAAATAAAGCGCAACTCGGAGCAAAACGGGAGGGGAAATTGGGGGGGAGGGAGGGGGAGGTGGAGGAGGAGGCTGGTACGGGAGAAGCCAAACACTCCTCGCACTTCAGCGAGTGCAACTAGTTGCCTCTCACGCACAGGAACGTAGAAAGTTTCTCTGGCAAGGGACGGGACTTTCCTAAGAAAAGGTAACCCCCTCTCGCTCTCCCGCCCAGAAAGGCCGTCTCGGGAGCGCGGAGGTAAGGGGCGAGGACCGCGGGAGCCAGCGCAGTCAGGGACGCGCGGCTTCGCACTTGTGCCAGGAGCTGCCGCCGGGGCTGCGCCCTGTTCCGGCCCCTACCTCGGCACGGCAGCCCGGCTGTCCCGTTGCCCACCCGCCGCCGCCCCGCTCAGCCCTACTAAGCCCCGCTCAGCATGCCTGCGCTGCCGCTGCCCCCGGCCCCAGCACACCGCGGCGGGCATGGACCGCCGGCTTACCCGGCCACCAGACAACTCCGAAGTGTCCCTCCCGGCCTCCCCGGCCTCGCAGCCCGGGGCCTGGACCTTTCGCCTTTGCTACTCCCTGACATCTGCAGTGAATAGTGATGGGAGCAAAGGAGAGGGCCCTGAAGGGTCACAGGTTGACTAATACCAATCCACTCGAGTACAGGTAGTGAAGTCTGCACTTGACTTTTTCCATTTGTTTCTTCTACAAGAAACCAATACTATAAAGCAATCCTGAGTTTTTGGAAGGACTATGAGTGTATGAATGATCAAGTGCTACACAACAGGAGTGGTTGGTGTACCGTTTTACAGGATGCATTTGTCTGCTTGTTCTCAAGCTGGCCAGTGTGGATGGAGGCAAAGTCCTTTCCTGCTCTGAAAGTGAACACTCTTTTCTGCAGAAAATTCAGCAGCTCCATATGGTCCTTTTTGCTACTTAGTGTGGGGAAGCGGAAGAAAACCTATAATTGCTTAGTCACATTTCATGCTCTTACCCTTCACCTTGTTTTATTTCCTAAGTATTATTTCACTGCGTGGATTGAGTGGCTCTTGTCCAACCAGCTGCATCACCCTCTTTTTGTCAAGTTAACTTCACTCTCCAAAGGGTGTAAGTCAAAAATTTAAAAGAGGAGGCAAAGTTAGGCCCTACATTTGGAGAGAGATGTGAGAGAAAACTCTTGGTTTTCAGAAGTACTGAATGTCAGAAGCTTTTGAGGTCAGCAAATCACCTGAAATGAGGGGGGGAAAATATGGATTTGTGAAGATTCTTTCCTACCTGCCTTCTCTTTCCTTACGTTGCATTTGGTGATACTATTTAAAGCATAACTTAAGCTGTTTGCCTTTGAATTTCATAATTTGCATTCAATGAATTGTAGTAACATGGTCATCTCTTTCCTAAATAATTTCTGGCTTAAGACTTAAGTAAATCTTCAGAAAACAAGTCTATAAAAACCTTGTATTTGCTGTCTTGGATAACAGCAAGATAACAGACTTATCAGAAAGATAACAGAAAACACTTTTGACCTACAAAAAATACAACTAGAAAATCTTTTAAACTAAAAAAGCCTCCAAAAGCCAACCTTCAAATTGTCATAGTGTGGGACAAACCAGAAATACGAAATGAATTTTGAAACTGAGAGCTCAGAGAGTAACTGGAAAGGGAGAAAACTCAGATTTGTGGGAGTAATTGTAATTGACAACCCTGCCACAGACTAGGTTGTGACTAATGCCAGCATGCATCTTGCTAACAGGCTCCTTCAGCAGGGAAACATGCTAACAACTCCTTCCTTTCTAGAGGACTTTTGTGAATGGCAGCGCAGTGGTCTAACCTGAGGTACTCAAACATGGTAATAATGAAGGTCTTTTGAAGTCTGGTTTCTTTCCACTCCAATGAAGCAAATTCCTTTAAGGGGAATAGTCCCCTAGTAACATCAGTTGTTTTAATAGACATATCACTTTAAAGCAAGCTCTTAAACATCTGTTGCACTCTCTCTTAAAATGTAAGGTACAGCTGACTTGAAAGATTGCGTGTATCTTTGCTCAGTGTAACTTGCTTCAAATTGAGGAGAGATGAGAGGGTTGCACTGTTGTTACATGGTATGGTCCCAAGACAAGTCTCCCAGTAAGGGGCCTGGTCTTGATGTCGTTGGATCACGTTGCTATTTTGGTATTCATTTTGGTGAGAGTGAGCAGGGTCGTACCAAATGTAATGAGTGTTTGGTCTGGGTCAAAAGGGACTGAGGGGAGTCCTACAGAAACAAATCTCCTAACCAAACAATTTTTCACAGTGATTTATTGTAAATGTGACTTTCACGGGTAGGAATTAAATGATGATTTTGTTAAATCAATGTCTTTGGGCTGAAGTAAATTCCAGTGAGCTCAGTGGAAGTGATTTCAGAAGGCCAAAATGTAGTACAATACACTGGTTCAAATAAATTGACTCTGTGTGACCATGGAAAAGGTCATGCTAGAAATAGTCCTAAGAGAGCCCAAGGAAGGTCTGTAGGGCCCACTTTTACACCAGAATAGAAGAATAATACCTTATCCATTTAAAGCAACAGGGGAATGTAGGTAGGCAAGATGTAATTATCTAGATTGGTGTTTGGCCAGGCGCTCCAAAACTACCAAAACCAGGCACTACAAAAAACTACCAGGGTGTTTAATGTCCACAAGTGCTTGATATCCTTGGTTTTACCTCTTAAATAAAGACAGCACTTGTGATCATATAGTTTATGCTGGTTCAATACTGAGTCAGCAGAAGAACGTCACCTTGCACAAACACCCATTCACACAGTAACTTGGAATTTCCTTGGAGGTCTTCCATGCAAATACTATAGACCCAACCCTATTTACCTTGGGAAATGTAGTGAGATTGCAGCCATAAGTAGTATGGCTCCAAAGAATCATGTTTGCATATGTTGCTAAAAAGAATATGGACTTTGAAATGTTTATAAGTAATTTTTAAATTAAAGCAATATTTTTTTACATTGTATCTCAGTAACAACAAGGTTTTTTTGTTGTTTAAGCAAAGGGATTATACTTAGTTATTTTGAGAAAAACTAATGACAGACAGTCGCTATTTTGGCAATGTATCATGATTATGATTTATTGAAGTGCCTACCATATGCTGCATCCATTTAGGTACCTGTCGCAATTTTGTTTTACAAAAGCAGAGCTTTGAAATATGGCTTCTTATTTTCAGGTTCAAGTATGAAATCCAAAAGCCTGTTAATTAGGCGAAGTGTGTTGATCTATATACTTCAGGTAATTATTGGTGCTTCATGGTTTTATAGTCATAAAAAGAAAGAATGAATGGGGGTTCTTTTGACTTGGTTATCAGATTTCAGGTTTAAAAAGAAGGTGACACACCCTTTTCAGTAATTCGACATGCAGGGTTCAGCTGTGGGTTCAAAAACAGGTTACAACTGGCTAGTCATTGTGCTCTTGAAATGCCAACTGTGCCTTTAAGTATGTTATATAACCTATTTTTTGGTTTCAGTTTTCAAGTATGGCATCATTTCAGTGTTATTTGGATTTCCATATATTTTTTAATCCAAACAAATCTGACCTCAATCATAAGGTTCCATGGCTCCAAATAGCTGAGCTTTTCTAATATTTTATTTTGAGTGCCTACGTTCAATACTTCATCACATAGATATGTGCTGCAGACTGTGCCAAATACTGTGCCAGGGATGTCCTCAATTATCTTCAGTGCTTACCAGGAGAGGGCTCTGTTCTGCATACCATACACAGAAAAAAGTCCTACTGAAATTAGTGTGGGTTTTGATTCTAAAGCTTGCTTGAAATGAAGCTGGCTAAGTGCAAATGAAAACCTACATTATTTCAGCTGCCTGTGCAGGCGGAATGAGGTGTGCTTGATAATCTTAATTTGTATCCTGCTATTACACCAGGATCTTTTTTTCCTTCCTGGGAGAGACCCAGTCTGCATCCTGCAAGGTACCTTTCTGTCATGTTTCGTGTAGGTTTCACGAGGTTTCATTTAAGTAATCTACAGAGCTGACCCAGAAAAAATATTGGGCCATATATTTTTGTTTAATGAACCACGTTTTCCTTGATCATTGTGGGATACAAAAACTATGTCTGCACTGATCAGGGACATAGATCTAGCACACAGGTCTGTTAACTTATTTCTTGGTGTGGTTTTGCTCTCATCAGTTAGTGTTCGCATAAAAAATGCCCTGGTGGAGTTCGAGGTGTGGTATGGGTCAAGGACGATTCCTGGTGCTTTGACTAGTCCAGGCATTCATCCTTTGCTGGAGAATGAGACAGTTGATAATGAGAATTTTGGCCTTCCAGAAACGCTGCTCTGACAGATGGCCTCAGGTCAGAGAGCAATCTTCAGATAATTTCCTAGTGCAGATGTAGCCTGAAAGTCACTCTTAGTCCTGTTCCAGAGACAACATTAGGTCAGGTTGTTGGGGAGGTAAGAGAACTGTCAGGGCTGGCATTACCTCACCTCCAGAGCCTCTGGCACTGGGGAAGAACTGAGGGTGTGCCCCACACCCATCTATGTTTATTCTGGCTGTAGAATTTTGTTTCAGATTTCATTTCATCATAAATAAAATAAAGAGTAATCCATGGATGATTTATAAAAATGTGAATATTTTAATCTGTTTCATTAAACATTAGTGCTGCTGCTTAATGTAATTCCCTTGAATTTGCTTTTTAATCAGTTTCATGTTAGATGTAGTTTCCTCAGTTTTTGATTACTTCTAGGAATTTCCACCATATTTTAAAACTTCTCTTTGGTTATTTTTATCCATGTACAACATTCTTCAATGGAATAACTTTGATATGGCTACCATGCTATTTTTAAAGATCTATTTAAAGCATCCTCAAAACCTGTAAGACGTAAACCCCAGCATTTTGAAAATGGTTTTTGGTTACGTATATAGGTAGCATAAACCAAAGACATCATTTACTGTCATTAATCAGAAATGATCTGTGTAAGTGAGTAGTTGTGTTTGTTATTCAACTATCAGCATGTTGAGGTTTCCAGTGAAACAAATAGTAAACCATTCATCAATGTCATTGTCAGGAGGATTGGGCTTGTTATGAAATACAGATTCACACCAAGAACTTTTTACTACACTGTAACATCATATTGTTGCTGTATTGCATTATAGTATAATAACGTAGTCAGTAAAGAATTATTTGCCGTAAGTTTTTTCACATCTTTTATAGAAGTAAAAATGACATTGCCAAATGACACTACAAATTATTACCATTACCATATATTACCATGACACTAAAAATAACTCTGTTACTTCCAGAAGCATAATTGAATTCAATTCTCCAGTAGTACAAGATTAAATGAATTTCAGGCAATTTCACTCAACCACCATGCAGGTGGTGTGCAATAGAGGAAGGAAACAGAAAAACTATAAAACAAAAAGCAGAGATTAAAAAAAATTATGCCAAAGAGTATTTGCAGAAAACCTGTTTTATTTCAAAGTACAAGTTCCTTTCGGCTGTTGAAATGTTTGGTTCAAAGACTAGACATTTCTGAACGTGTACTTTATAGCTTCAGTATAATCTATAAGTATATGTAGATATAAGCTGCCAGTTTATTTGCTGCATTGTCATAATGGTAGTAGGCAGAAAACCAGGCATAGTATTTAGGGATAATCATCCTTCCTTTTCAGAAAGTATTGCAGTGTTGTCTTGTGTCGGGGTACTCTTGACCAGACTCTTCAGGTGTTGGTTTTTGTGAGGACCTCATCCTGAATCTCAGAGATATCAATTAGAAATAAACTGATTAGGTTATTTTAAGGACAGTTATTTTAAGGACATTTAAACAGCAGTTGTAGAGGTCTGTTTTGGACATGACTGTTAGTTAATCCTGAAGTTACACTCCTTATTAAATCATTCTTTATGCATTTCAATATTAAGATGTCCAGCAAGAGGTTTGTTCCATTCTGATTGTGAAATAATAAGCATACTCTGAAAGAATCACTTAAGTTCATGGCTTCTGCATTCTTCCAATGGGTCTAGTATTTTATGTAATATATTAGTAGTTATTAATGTAGTTATTATATTTATATTTGGTTACTTATTAAAATTTACTCGTAATTTATACATTCTGCTTGGAGGTCTTACTGCACTTTGTAAAAGCAGAGGTAGGCATGGTCTCTGCCCCACGGATCTCACCAGCTAGTCCCATGTAAACCACACAAAAGAAGTTACTAAAAAAATTTCCTCTGGTATGGTAATCCACTGGTTGAAGTCAATGGAAAGAAGCACTTCTATTTTAGTATTAACTGGAACATGTCTTGCTGCATATCTGTAGATTTTGTGGGGACATTATTACTGCAGTTACACTGGACTGCATAAATGACGGAACAGTCTTTCAGCAGAGAAGTAACGTATTGTTTGATGTACTTTCTGAAACCACCAGCTCCACATTATAAGCAAGGTAAGAATATACTAATATGAAACTAAATAAGTTCATATAACCTTGTTTCAGCTAACGTAACAACATTGATATGTCAAGAGTTGTGGGAGCTACTTGAGCAGCAGTCAGCCGATTTTCCTACATCAGACAAATGGAGATTATGTGCCTTCTCAGTTTCATTTTTGGGGTAGAAGAACTTGTCAAACAGATTGCTATGCGTGATTGAGTATTGATGCAATGGTACATGCACATCTTTCTCTCTATTAGTTTGCAGTTAGGCAACAGCTGTCCTGGGACAGGAAAAGGAAGCTTTTGACAACAGTCTCCAAAGCAGTCCCAAGTAGTGTAAAACAAAAGGCAGAGGTTCATCAAGGTAAATATGCTTTCTTGAACCTTTATCCTTCCTCACTCCTCCCATTATATTCTTCTTTTTCTAGTAACAAATACTTTGCATTTTTTCAAACAATTAAAACCAAATGGTGTAGGTTTTGCCAAAGCTCCTAAGTTGTTCTGAGACCTACAAGTGGCTATTTTGGTCCTGGTTTCAGAACATCTTTGCTATTGCAGTGAAAAAGAGAGTAAAGGAGATGGAAACAAAAGATGTGGACCACTGATGAGAACAAAGCAACTAACTTAAATCTCCACTCCTTGCCCTATAGCACATCATCTTCATCAAAAGATGTACAAAGTACTCTTCCTCCTCCCCTTTTGCATTAGTTGACTATACTTGTGACTGGCTGTGAATGTGAGTGCTTTATTAGCATTTGAATAATCTGTACTGCTGTGCAAATGAGACTGAAGATTGAACTTCATGGAAAAATAAAAAAAAATATACATATTCTAAAAGGTGACAGCCTGTGTTTCATTTTCCCTTCTCCATATCCTGTTCTGGCAAAACTTTTCTCCACTTCTGACTTAATAAAAGCATATACACATTCTGAGATTTTTTTTTTTAAATACACATTTTTATTATTCGCACTTTTGAAGCTCAGAGAGGGACCAATTTAGAGGGCCTAAATTCTGGGGAGAGTTTTGTTCTGGAAGCAATTATTTTTATTGAGAACTATTGATGAGGTGATTACCTAAAAATTCAGTGGCAGGAAATTGAAGAGGAGGCAATTTCTGAGTTTTGAAAGATCATCAATAACAAGTGAAAACAAGTCAGGTTTCTCCATGGATTGTTTACACAAGAGTAGTTGTTGATAAATGAACTTCAGATTGGGTATTAGAGGTACATAGTGTGCAAAGTGTAATAACAGTTTTACTGCTCAGAGCTTGTGAAGACTGCATAATTTATAGGCAATTTACTCAAGCATTGCAAACAATTAGTAAAATCCTTATAGCAGTCCTCCTCATCGTGCATCCTGTTAATAATGTTTTTTCTAATGTGTATCCATTTGCTTTTTGTTTTTGAAAACAGGCAGCAACTTTCAAAATAATTTCACTCAATAATGGAAGGAGTTTAACATTACCTACGTGGGGATGGGAATTAATAAATAAATATTTTCATAGGTAATATAAACCACAGTTATGATGCTCAGATGTATGGTGTCATGGCTTTGCTATAACAGTGTAGTAGTTAAGACACGGAATTACCATAGTTGGCAACAAGAGGAGATGCTGTTTCAGTTGTGTAAATATGCTGTTAGTTGTGAAAAGTCAGAGATTAATTGACTTTGATGAATTGATAAGGAGGAGGGCGACCAGTGCTGGAGCCCTTTCCTCGTTCTGCCAGGTTCCAGATGATGTGGCAAAGAGGTTTTCCTGCATTCCTTCCTGGTACCTTCACTTCTGAAGATGAATGGTAATGGCGTCAATGTCAAAGAGCCAGGAGAAAAGCGGGAATGCTCTTGTATCAGATTTGCCTTCACCTGTTTGAAAGTTTAAAAACCATTTTGTCGTGGTTAAAGACTTTCAGGAGGAAAAGATTAACAGAGGGCAAGTGAAGTAGTAAGATTACTCAGGTATTCAGGAACCTTCTTACTTGTCTTGTTTGGTATTGTGAATCAATCATAATGTGAAACGGGATTTCTAGTAGTGAGAAGTACTGCTGAAGTAACTAATACTTTCTTTAAAAAAGTATTTATTACAAAAACGTGTTTGTTTCAGCAATTATTCTCAAGTGGAACAATCTGGAAAAATAAAGCAATACGGCCCTGACATACCTGCTAGCTCTCTATGGAGGAGGTAGATTTTTCTCCATCAGAAAAAAGAAGTTTCTCAGTCTCTATAGGTAGAAATGTGGTGGCATTTTTTCCCTACTGTCACTAATATTTGGGTGAAAATTAGAGTAAGGAAAAGTAATCTCTGTAATTTTAATTCTGAGAAGTACTTGGCAATTAAAATTCTTACAGATTTTAATGATGAAGAAACAGGCCTAAAGAACAAAGTTAAAAGAGATCTTGTGTAGGAGAGAGTTCTTGGTCTGAATTGTACTGAAGTTCTGTAGTAGTTGCAGCCTGTATTATTATCTGCGAGAAATGCCCATGGAAGGAGGAATTACACTCTTGTAGCAGCTGAATTTGGTGAAATTTATAATGCTGAGATAACAAGGTGTTGACATTGGCCCATATCTTTTCCTCTTGTGATTGCTTTCTGTTTGAAGTGATTCAGTATATATTATATTTGTATTGCAAATATCACACTTGTAGTTTGTACACAAATGCTTGAGAGATTTATTGTCCTTATTATATTTAATTCTCTAAATTATATATGTATTTCAGTTAAATTAGAATTTCATGTCATTTAAGCAAGATTAATAGATAACTTAGTAATACTTCACATTTAATAGAGTTTCCTTAAGATTAAGGCACCATTCTTTATGCCCTAATTTAGTCTCTTGGGAACTGCCAGTTCATTTTCTGTTGTGTTTCTCTGGATTTTTTTCATTTTAGTTTTGGCATCTTCCACTCACATTGTAAAATAATTCCATTAGTATTGTCAGAATGCAGAAATTTTGTTTTTGTTAAGAGTACTTAACAGCTTTTTGATATTTCCCTGGCAATTATATACCCATGATGTAAAGTGTACATCTTGTAATATGCATAAATATTTCTAGCACTATTTTATAGAAAACAAGGAAATAAAGCATGAATTATTATTTTCAGGAAACTACAAAATCTGAGTTTGCAGAAATCCAGAGCTTTGATTACCCAGGTACCTCATATTATAAGGCTGTAAACAAATCCTCTGTCTACAGAACAGGCAGGTGGTGAATGTTGTGAGCAAGACTTCTTCCACCTCCACAGGAATCCTAAGCTAGTATTCTCCCTGGTGTTTGGGTAAGTTGTAAATACTACTACTTAGTATTTACACATGTCAAAAGTCAAGAGAAGAGGACGAAGAAAACCACAAATATGTGAAAAATAAACTTTCAGATATCAACAGTTTTAGTGGCTGTTTCATTCTGTATATATGTTTTCTATAGTTATGCTAAAATTACTGAAAGAGGAGGGTAAGTTTGTGGCATGGGAAGTCTTAATTTAAAAAAACCTTCTATCAGCTGTAGTACTGGCTTCATGACCTTAGGGTGGTTATCATCTGACAGTGTTGTTCTGGAAGCCAGAAACTGATGACTACCCTCGAGTTCCATCTCACATGCCCTGTGGTAGCTGGGGTTGGGGACCCTATGGGAAGAGTACACTGCCGTCACTCAACAGTGGTCTTTCTGGCTAATTAAAGAGGAGCACTGATGAGCTCTGGAAAGAGTCCTGACAGCCCCCATTAAATAGAACAATTTGACATATTACATGAGTCCTGTGGAAAAGCTTTTAAAGAAAGAAAAATCAAAGGTGGGCAAGTCAAGTCCGCACAAGGTTAATGGGATGATCCCACAGAGGCAGCTGAAGTGATGCTAAATATGGTGTTGTCTTTCCCTAGCTTCCATATCAAAGCTTTCATATGTACCACAGAGATTTATACAACTGAAATGAACACTGCTGTGGGCTAACAATAGAGACTTCCAGATTTTTCTTGCTTTGGGAAATAAAATATGTGTCAGTCCAGGGTGGGGCTCTGTTATATTGGGTGTTACATGACCATGTAATGAAAATGAAAGAACCTTCCTGCAGAACTTCAGATTTAAGGGGGCAGGAAAGCAAACGTAGTAGAATAATTAAAATACTTCCAAGGGTGAAACAATTCCTCAGTACGGATAAATGGAACAGAAACCATGCCTCCTGTCAAACCCTGTGGTGCATCCTACACCCTAAATATGAGAAATATAATAAGTAGGAATTTTCATTCTCAAATTATTAGGCTATTTTTTTCTAATTTTCAGAGTTAGAGAATAAACTGTATCTCCCCTCTTCCCAAATGCAGAATTATCTTCTGTTTTGTATTACCTATTGAAGTGTCATGGACTTCTAGGCTCCCTTCCTGTTACAGTTGCCATTAACTATTAGCATGAACACATTCGACAAGGCTGCACTTAGTGTAGAAAAAAACACGGACTGTTTGTGATATTAGCAAAGCAGTTCTGTCAAAATAAATGAACTATCATCATGTTAGGAAGCAAAGTGAATAGAGAGAGTCATGTACGTTTTTGCTACAAGTAGTAACTGTAGCCTTGTAAATATGTATTAACTAATTTAAAAAATCACAAGGATAAAAAAGTAGTAATTTACGTAGATGAACAAGCCAGCACTACATGGCTTGAGCCACATGCTGCTGTATACTTAAATGTTTTCAGCAGAAAGGGAGATCTATCATAGGAACAACCCATCTCTCTAAACATTGAAGTAAGGAAAACACCACAAATAGTGAAATGCCTTTTCCTTATTCTTCTTGCATACCTTCTTTGATCTACTTACCTTTTTTGAGTCAGAGTGAACACTAACGGCACAACTCATAAAATGAGAAACTGTCCATATCTAGCAGATAAACTGGATAAAAGTTCATGAAACACAAAACTCAGGGCACTTGGCTTCATTCATCTTGTATTTCTGCTCGAATGATAGAGGAATGAGGGTAGAGGATTGAACAAAAAATGGAAGTAAAAAAATTCTGCCCTGGGTTAATTTATGACTAGGATTTTTTTGTTTGTAGTTTTTCAAAGCACTACTAATTTCCCCAAGAAGCTCAAATGGTCAAGACGGCTTGCGTAATAGAATCATAGAATCATAGAATATGCTGAGTTGGAGGGGGCTGATCATGATCATCGAGTCCAACTCCAGGCCCTGTGCAGGACACCCCAAGAATCACACCATGTGCCTGAGAGCATTGTCCAAATGCTTCTTGACTTCAGACAGGCTTGGTGCTATAGTCAGTTGACTATAGTCAATAGTGCACAAGAGACTTAGAGAGCTGGTGAGAACTGGCTCTTCAACCTGTCTGACAAGGTACCTATTTTCCTTAGCTGACTGGAAGATTGTCTTCAGCATAATTTGAACTCATGCTTCTGGAATGACAGCAAAATAACTTTTCCACCCTGCTTTTCTAAATAGATACTTCTACTAAAAATCTGGAGTCTTTAGTTACATACTCCCTATCTCCCCATTATTGCTGTTACCACGTTATTTTATTTTCTCTGATATGGATATTTCTGATTATAAATGAATCTTGTAAACCAGTTGTCCTAGTTCTTAAAATCTACATTGCGCTGAGAAAGGCTATATTTGGTTCCTATGTGCAAGATGTCTCATATTTTTGTATGTCTTCTAATACTTTTATTGAAGCTGAGCTTTTCCCCCGTTAAAATTGCTTTAAAGAGACTCATTAAAAATCCTTTTAAAACCAACAACACATAATTTTTAATGTGGAAAAACTCTTGAAAACA